AAAAAAAAAAAAAAAAAAAAAAAAAAAAAAAAAAAAAAAAAAAAAAAAAAAAAAAAATAAGAGGTGCGGAAACGAACGTGGGAGATCACGATATATGTTCTCAAAACTGATTCTACCATCAGTTAAGGCCGTTTCAATATAACGATACGAACATCGTCTTCCCCAGCACGAGTTGGCATCAGAACGTAAGAGATCCTTGCGTGTCTTGTATCGCTATATAGTATATCGCTATATTGTTCGTCTTCTTTACTCGACGGCTTAAATCAGATTTCTGATGCATCGCCTGGAACGAAAGTCGCTGTATTGGCCTGCCGATACAGCGAAAAATTATAAATAATTAATGAAACTATTTTTTTATATGGAATTATTTTTGGATAAATCAATTTTGCAATAGCGTGCAAATATTGATTCACTTAAGAAGTTCTCAGGATATATCAAAATACACAAAGTGAAACATTAAGGGTTCCAAACTTTAAACTTCTTGGCTTATTCGGAAAAATTAATGCCCAAATTTTTTTTCCACAGTAAGCTTTTGAATTGAATTTCTTCTTTGCGAATTGAATTTTCTCTCGACAAATTAGTGAGGCTTTGTTTTGGGTGTATTTTTCTCACTGAATTGAACGAGACCGTTCTCGAGTCGATCAGACTAACAGATTAGGAAAGTATTTTGTACAAATTTCAAGTTCAAATTTCTTATAGTTCAAATTTGTACTTTAAACTAGTCTAATTATTAATTAGTATAGTTATCTAAACAAGCATTATGCATTTTTTCACGGTGAATCAAATGAAACTATACAAAAGTTTCAAATAGAAAAAGTACTATATTTGGCAATATTATTTTTACATTGAATTCAAGTTAACAGGAGAAATAATTTTGAAGCTTTCTTCATAATAAGTGCAATTCAAAAATAGTACTTTTTATATACAAATACTTAAGCTTTTAAAATTTTTTTGTCTTCTTCTATACATAGGAAACAATACCTCACTTGTCTGCACAGCAATGTAAGATAAATACGAGTATAAACTTGTACTCTTTGTACATAAAACTCATCTTAATCTTATCGATTCCTGTCTTATCTCATTCAATTCACCACAAAAAGTTAAAATCTTGATACCTAAACCTGTAATTTTTAAGAAACACTCTTAAAATATTCAATATTATGAAAAAGTAATAATTTTTTTTTCTCAATAAGTTTGCAAATGAATGCAGGATTAGATTCTGTTTATCTGAGTCTTTAATGAGAAGCTCAAACAATGCAATTCAAATCTGGTTTTTGCATAGATAGTCGTTATCAATTTTTTGAATTGTTAAAACAATTTGGCAAAAAGTTAGTAATGGGAGTCCTATAAATTTAAATAGTTTAATAGAAAATTGTTGCTTATTGTTGTTCGTTATTTGTTGTTACAAAAATATATCCTTATTGTTGTAGGTATGTAAAAATTTATCCTTATCAGATGTTGTTGTAGTTCATTACGCCGCACTAGAGCTGCACAATGGGCTATTGGCGTCGGTCTGGGAAACATCCCTGAGGATGATCCAAAGACATGCCATCACAATTTTGATCCTCGGCAGAGGGGATGGCACCCCACTTCGGTAGCCTGACGATCTTCACACGAAGTCGAGCACTTTACGGTAGAACAGTTTATCGACGACCAATACCGCACACCCTCTGTCCCTACTCAGACTGAACCAAGTGGTCACCCACTCGCACACTGACCGCAGACAGTGATGCTTGACATCGGTGATCTGTTAGGAACCGCGTCTTAACGATCAGTCCATTGCTGAACTATATCCTTATCAGAATTAATAAGCAAAGTAACAATACATTGGAATATTGAAACTCCTATCAATCATTGACGTCTCGTATTCAATTCCGATGCAAGCCTAAATATTCAAAAAAAAAATATATATATAAATAAATAAATACAAAACTGCAGTGGATCCCAACGCATTTAACCTTAATAATCCAAAGTGCATCATAACTTGTCCTTTTTAAGAGCATTTAAATTCTCATGCGGGTGCATTTTCACTGCACGTGATTCGCAAATGCGATCGAACGTAAATGCAATTGAACGTAAATGCGATTCACGCATGCACAAGTATAGTTCGTCTAACGCATTGTTTCTAAACATTTATACGTGCGCCTAGGGCAATTGAATGCAGTGTGAATGATCCTTACTTAAAAGTTGAGTAATTCAAAAGAGAAAGAATTCCAATTTACTTAATTTTATTAATTTCAATTTTATTTGATGATTATTATTTAAGAGTAGAATTAATAAACAGATCTGATTAATTAACTTGGGAAAGATAGCCTTCTGATTGCGCCCATTTTAAGCGATTACTTAAGTTCGTACTTTAAGGTAAGTGGGTACTTCATTTGCGTCGCACTAGAGCTGCACAATGGGCTATTGGTGACTGTCTGGGAAACATTCACGAGGATGACGTGCCATCGCAATTTCGATCCTCTGCAGAGGGGATGGCTCCCCTGCTTTTGGTAGGCCGACGACCTGCGTGCGAAGTCAATCACTTTACGGTAGAACAGTTTAACTAACTAGGACCGATACCACGCGCACTCGGTCCCTACGCAGACAGATCAGAGTAGTCACCTACCCGCTTACTGACAGCAGCCAGTGATGCTTGACTTCGGTGTTCAACTGGGAACCGTGTTTTTACGATCAGCCCTCAGCGGGACTCATGTATTGAGAAAATCGGATAAGAAAACATTGAATTTACCTTTAAATACCTAATGCATCGCTTACATGGAGTTAACTTAATGGTCGAAAACGCATTCCCTTACATTTAAGATTGTTTTACAAAAGATATGAAGTTGAAACCATGTAAAGTAAGGGGCCGTTCAAAAAGTACGTACATCCCGAAAGGGGGGGACTTGCTATTTTGTACAATGGGGAGGGGGGGTATTATACAAAGTACGTATATTATAAGCATACACCAAATTTAAATTTGACTTTTTGCTACACATGTATTATACATATGTTCGTTATTGTATTTTTTTCACACGGTGACCACTTGTTAGAATGAATATGGTCCGATGTAAAAATTGACAAGTTTCCAGTTATGAGTGAATACATTCACCTGGAAAACTCAGAGCTGTGTTCTTCACAGATTCGAGAAAAAGATCTGACTTGGCAAGCTAAGCACGTGAGAAACAGCCAATATCTACTACAAATCGTTATGTGTAACGATGAATCCTGTTGTTCTGAATTTCGGAGTTCAATTCTTAAGCTTGTGCCTAACAGATTTTTATCAGCGCCTGTGCCCATAGCACAAACTCATAATGGACTTGATATTAATCAACCACGAAGAACTTTTCCATCATTATTTTTATCTCAAACGTTGGAACCAATTGTAAAATCTGCTGTTAATCAAAAAATAGGTTCGAACTCCGTCACAGAAATACCATACGATGCAGCATGCCCATCGGTAGAACGCAAAATTTGTCATATTCTTGGTACATATTTTGCATCTTTAACTTGTTTGAAAGATCACAAGAAAATATGCAAATCTTCTTTGCAAATCAACAAAGTAAGACCAGTTCGTGTAGCAGCTCGTCGACAGAAAGAACTTTTGGTTATCCTCCGAATCCAGGAAAACGAAGATGATGCAGAATGGATCGAAGATGATCACGTTGATGAACATAATCTAAATTTTTCTTCAGTCTCAGACAAGAGTAAAGCTGAAATAGTGTCTCTCGAGAAGCATTTGGAATGTCCTTGGTAAAATACTGTAGATTATTTGTATTGATGGTAGAAAATTATTATGTTGATCAGATAAGATTGTTTTATTTATTGATTCAAAGATAAAGTTGGGTGTTATTGTTTAAATAATTTAAATGAATAAATTATTTTAAATAAATATTTAATTTTATTTAAAACATAATTATTTTAATTTTTAAGAAAAAGGGGGGCAGACTAATAAAAAGTACGTACTTTAAGGGGGGAGTAAGACCTTATGTATCTGAGATTAAATAACCAAATTCAACGNTGGTTATCCTCCGAAACCAGGAAAACGAAGATGATGCAGAGTGGATCGAAGATGATCTCGTTGATGAAGATAATCTAAATTTTTCATCAGTCGCAGACAAGAGTAACGCTGAATTGGTGTCTCTCGAGAAGCATTTGGAATGTCCTTGGTAAAATACTGTAGATTAATTGTATTGAATGTAGGAAATTATTATGTTGATCAGATAAGATTGTTTTATTTATTGATTCAAAGATAAAGTTGGGTGTTATTGTTTAAATAATTTAAATGAATAAATTATTGTAAATAAATATTTAATTTTATTTAAAACATAATTATTTTAATTTTTATGAAAAAAGGGGGTAGACTTATAAAATGTACGTACTCTAAGGGGTGGGGGTGGAGTAAGACCTTATGTACGGCAATGTACGAAGTGGGGAGGGGGTTAAAATTTCCCTATTTTTGCGGACGTACTTTTTGAACTGCCCCTAATGCATAAATATGAGTGTTTAATTTATTAAAATTCTATTTTTATTGGGTTCTTTCAGATAAGTTCAAAGTAGGAGAAGATGGCTACCGAGAAGGAAACGCATGAACCCAACCTTCAAATGATAAACGGTCTTCCATTTTCTTTGATGTTTCGGAAGGACAAAATAGAAGAGGCTTTAAACTTCCAATCACAAATGGGTGACGTCATCATCGCCACTTATCCGAAAACAGGGACTACGTGGATGCAGTACATCGTCCTACAGATACTGACAGGAGGTGAGGATTTTCCGCCATTCAATGACGTACTAGAGAAACATGTGCCATACATCGATATGGTGGGAGTGTCCGCTGTCGAAGATTTGAAGACGAGGCCCAGAGCATACAAGACCCACCTGCCTTACAACATGATGAAAACGGACCCAGGATCCAAAGTCATTTACGTCTACAGAAAGCCTGAAGATACCTTTGTGTCCTTTTACCATTTCATGAACAATATGATGGGGAATCTGAACTTTGATCGATATTTCGAAGATTTCATGCGTGGTTTTGTCTCTTATGGCTCGTATTTCGAACATATCCTTTCTTATTGGAATCACCGCAATGAAAGAAATATGTTGCTGTTGTCCTACGAGAAGTTGCAGGCTGACACGAGGAAAGAAATTTTGGGTGTCGCCAAATTCATGGGCGAGGAGTTCTACGAAAGACTTGCAAGCGATCAGTCGATCATGGATAAAATTCTTCTGAATACCAGTTTCGGTCACATGCAGAAGAACCTGAAACTCGTCTTCCCCGAGAATCCTGCGAGGGATAACTATTCGAAAGATGTCCCTCAGAAGCAGGTAAACTTCTTCAGGAAAGGAAAAGTGGGAGACGGTAAAAGACACTTGAGTGAAACTCAGCTGAAGAGGCTAAAGACTCTCGCTACAGAGACCTTGAAAGGAACAGATATACTTCAGGAATGGTACAGCAATGAGGAATGATCACTTTTTTTCCAGCGATTTGCGGAATCTTAGGGATTTCTGAGAGTTTTCTTTTCATGTTATGATTTTTGAAAAACTGTAGGTGAATTTATATCTAATTAATTATCCATTATTTATTTAATATTTTAGCCATTTTTATTGCATTTTCAATTAGAATGATTGTGGAAAAAGAAGAGCAAAATTAAAAACAATGTTCTTTCAAGTAACAATGTATTAAATGCATAATGAAAGGGATCTGCATTTACGAAAAATTACATTAGTATTTCGAGTCGAATAAAAATAACGAAATTCAAGAAGTCTTTTTCATTCATAAACACTCTCAATGCTTCGACCTCTTTCGTTTTTATTCATAGGGAAACCTTACTTCAGTTTATTCATTTTCTGTTCATGCATACACTAAAATCAATTTCAGAACTTGAATAGTTGTCCCTCCAGACGTGCGAATTCAACTGCCTGGCCTTAATTAATATTAATTAAACAATATTAAAAAAATCCTTTATTTAAATATTTATTAAATAATTAACAAAATTCCATTCATTAAGTATTTAAAAAATATTAATTAGTCTTTTGATAATGTTCACAATTGCTATTTCATTACGCCTCCGCCAGGAAAAGGTCAATCATTTAGAATCGCCCACTGTAAAATTATCAAATCCAATATATATTTGATTTAAAAAAAACATTCATGATTTCTCATGCTGCTTGAATAAAAGAAATATCCCAAGTCAAAATTTTTGACGGTTTTCCATTGATGGACCACATAATCTTGATAGTAACCATCAATAGTTCCATCATGAACCATTATATATTTTTATGGTAACCAACATAGGTAACCATCACCCTAATGTAGGAATTCCAGACTGATTTATGATGGTCCAACATAAGAATCGCAACTTGTTTTGATGGTTTGTACATGTTGAAACATTTCATGTCTTATCATAGTATCTCAGAAATCAAATGAACCACCATCATCTCAATGTAGAAATTCAGTCTGATTTATGATGGTCCAATATAAAAAAAACTAAATTGTTCTGATGGTACTGATAACCAACATGAATTCCTATTAAACCATCATGAAAATGTATAGTTGGAATCCTCATGGACCATCATGGATTGCTGGTCCATGAAAGTCAAAACTTCTCTTGATGGTTAAGCATCATAGTATTAAGGTAGCATTTTCCATCATGGAATAATGGAAGTTTGTTGGCATATCAAAAATCATGAACGCGTAATGGAAAATGTTGGATGATGGTGACTATCAAATGCTGTCGAACCATCATCGCGCTGAAACCGACGTAAACCATCAAATGTTTTGATGGGTTCATTATGAACTTTGACTTGGGATATGATAGATGAATTGTTTTTCTGGGAATTTTGCAAATGTAAAAGAAAAAGGATACAAACCTAAAATTTAACTTTCTCTTTGAAAGTATAGCAAAATAATTTTCCAAAAATTTTGATCGAAAATTATTAAGTAGTAAATAATTGTAGATTTCATTTCGGACTTTTACTAAGAATTTGCTGTGAAATCTAATAGTGACCATCGCCTTCCGGCAAAAGGCCGAAACAAGGGATTTAATTCGACCTCAAATAAGCCTGGCACGCAAATTCCGTCTTGACTATTTTCTGTTCTTTATTTGGGTCATTTACAGTCATGATTAGGGCGAATTAAAACAAGTTGCTACGATCTGAAATAAAAATAACATATTGAACATATTTTGCTGAAAGAAAAGGAGTGATCTTATGACGAAAAAGTTTTGCAAAATTTTGTCTGAATCAATAAAAAGTAATAACAAATAAATAAATAAATAAATAAACATGATAAAAGCTTTTATTTAACAAAGGAGTACTTTTTCTTTAAAATATCTGCAGGCTTGTTGAAAACATTATGAATCAGGAAAAAAAAGTTAAATTTGTCTTCAAATATTTTTCATATTTGAAGAGGGCTTGACAGGGATTAACAGGACTTGAAAAACATTTTTATTTTCTATTGATATAGATGTTAATTTTCTCTTATTTGATTTCTCAGGACAAAATGAAGATGCAATTAACGTGAGTGAAAAGATTTTATTTTCTACATTAGTTTATAATAAAACTGATGATATTAAAATTATATTATTTTCTGAGAAACTGAAAAATGCATAGATTTCTTGGTGCATAAAATGTAACAAAAACATAAACATTAACATAGACCAAAAAACAGTGTATTTTAATGTAAAATGTAATAGATCTTTGAATGCATAAATTTATCAAGAAAAATTAATAAAAATTCGTATGTGCACTAATTTTTCAAGCTTTCAAGATAAAATAAAATTGGATGGTATTTAATGTCAATATTTGACAAAAAAATTTTAAAAGTTCTCTGTAAAAAATTTTCTGTAGAGCGTGAAATCTTTAACCTAAATTTGCAGAAAGTTAGGAATATCATTTTGCAAATTTTAAATTTTAATTTAATTTGGATTCATTTTCTTGATTTTTAACCTGAAGATTTCTAATATTCCTATAGACTATTATGGATTTTTATATTGAATGAAGAAAAATTTTAATCTTACTAAGTGTGTGGTGTAGTCATTTCTGAAGTTACACAGTTTCATGCAGCTGTGCAAGTATTTTAACCGAGAGGTCAATCTCATGACCGAAACCGAGGTAGGTAGGTACTTTATTTGCGTTGTACTAGAGCTGCGCATTGGGCTATTGCCGACTGTTTAGGAAAAAATCCCTGAGGGTGATCCAAAGACATGCCATCGCAATTTCGATCCTCTGCAGAGGGGATGGTTCCCCTTTGTTGGTAGCCCGACAACCTGAGTGCGAAGTCAATCACTTTACGGTAGAACAGTTTAACGAGGACCGATACCGCCCACCCTCAGTCCCTACGCAGGCTGATCAAAGTGGTCACCCACCCTCTTGCTGACCACAGCCAGTGATGCTTGACTTCGGCGTTCCATTGAGAACCGTGTCTCTACGATCAGTCCTCTGCGGGACAACCGGAACCGAACAGGGGGCATTGTGGTGACTTCAAACTACTTCGGTCCCGCAGTGGACTGATCGTTGAGACACGGTTCCCACTAGATCACCGAAGTCAAGCATCACTGGCTGCGGTCAGTGTGCTGGTGGGTGACCACTTGGTTCAGTCTGAGTAGGGACAGAGGGTGTGCGGTATTGGTCCTCGACAAACTGTTCTACAGTAAAGTGCTCGACTTCGTGTGAAGATCGTCAGGCTACTGAAGCGGGGCTGCCCTCCCCTCTGCAGAGGATCAAAATTGTGATGGCATGTCTTCGATTCATCCTCAGGGATGTTTCCCAGACCGTCGCCAATAGCCCATTGTGCAGCTCTAGTGCGACGCAAATGAACTACAACTACAACAACTCAAACTACTTCCTTCAACAAATTACAGAAAAGAAGTAAAAGGGAGGCACTGACATACATAGCAGCTTCGTCAGGTGGACATTACCATGTAGTCAGTGAGGAAGCAGTTTCAGCGGTTGGCGGTAAATTACCGCAAACAACCATACCTCCTACTGCTCCAGGAAAAACAAGAGAAATCGAAAGCAGTTCGAAGGAAGACTACATGCCGTAATCTTCAAAATTATAAGTGGAAGCGCACATAAATTACCAGATGGTAAACACGATTTTTCAGGCGAATTTAGAAAGTTGCAGGTTCGGGAACCAAATTAGCATGTGGGTTCGAGTATTAAACTTTGAAAGAATTTTTTTTTAAAGGTATAGATGTGAATAAAAATGAATTATATGAACCTTAAACTTAATAAATGAATATACTCCATCCAAATTGACATACTCCATAATAGTTAAGCTTGATAAGTCAATTGGAAATAAAGACAGGCACCCGGTTATTTCAAGATGATCCAATCGAACCTTGAACGCTTGGGTGGCCCTTCTATAGCATTACTTCGCCTCGGATGGCATTTCTCAACTGATTTAGGTACCTGTCTATAAATCAAATCTGGTTATCACTATCCATGAGAAGTTTATGTAGAGATTTACAGTTTTTTTGAAATTTTAAAATGAACATGTCATTATTGCAAATAAACTTAATGAGATTAATTTTGGGCATAATAACATCCATATGGATACTAATCGATACATTCGATTTCCAATAAATTATCTTATTGACAAAAAATTGAAAATAATTTGTTTTTCTTACCAAAGACATCAATTTGAATTTTCGATGAGTTAAATGCAATGAATGAATCAAGAAAATCTGAACTTACATTAGATAGATTAGTTTTAATTAGAGTTAATTCCTCTGGATAAATTGTTTTTGCAATATTAATAAGTCCCGCATCGTTAAGAACGATTCCCAGCAGATCACTGAAGTCAAGCATCACTGGCTGCGGTTTGTGTGTTGGTGGGTGAAGACTTAGATCAGTCTGCAAAGAGTCCGAGGGTGTAGGCTATTGGTTCTCGTTAAACTGTTCTACCATAAAGTGCGCGACTGTTCTGCCATAAAGTGCCCCTTTGCAGGAGGATCAAAATTGTGATGGCATGTCTTCGGATCATCATCCGGGATGTTTCCCAGACCGTCGCCAATAGCCCATTGTGCAGCTCTAGTGCGACGTAAATTAACAACAACAACAACAACAAGATCTGATTCCGTACCTAATGAAAACCACAACATTTTTTTCATAGTAGTGCAAAAAACGGTTAGGAAGAATACTTGAGAAATGAGAACCTTGTGGTATACCAGCAATCTTCAGACAAAATCCTCGAACTGTTAAAGATAAAACTATTAAAAATACACAAATATAATAAAGCATAATAATAAAGTCATTAAATATGATAAAGCCATCGATAGATCTGAATCCGTACCTAATGAAAACCACAGCATTCTTTTCACAGTAGTGTAAAAAACGATTAGGAAGAATACTTGAGAAATGAGTACCTTGTGGCATACCAACAATCTTCAGAAAAAATTTCCGCACCGTTAAAGATAAAATTATTAAAAATACAAAACTTAACAATATTTCTCCAGTATTCAAAATTGATATCCAAAATTTTCTTAAAAATCATAAGAGTGTGAGAAAAGAACATCCTTAAAATTTCTCCAGTGGAATACTAATAAAAAGGTCCTTGAAATCAAAAGATTCAATATGTGCAATTGAATTTCCATTGATTAAAAAACTGATATTGATTGTCAATAACTGATATATTATTTTTAACAATCCAAGTAAATCCAGAATTCTATATAGAATTTAATAAAATGTTTAAGTTTTTTGCAAAGAGTTTACCTGGTGTATTCATGTAGGTATATTATATGTAGGTATGTATGTTAGT